GTGTTGGAAAAGAAATTACCATGTCCATGGCTCTAAGGAAGACCATCAGAGCCCAAATACTCCTGCCTCTAAGCTAGGGCTTCCCCAACTCGGCAAGAGAGTCACCGGGCCCCACCTCAGACAACCTGTGTCATCTGGGGGATAGAACCCAAATACCACCACGTTAAACAGCTTTCCATGCTCTCTGCTGCAGGCAGACCACAGGCCACATGTGGACAAACAGTGACATTGTGGTTTTGGAGTTAGAAAAATCCAAGTTCAAATTGTCCTCAACTTTCTATCTGTATGACCTTTAAAACTTCTTCACATCTTGCTTTTCTTATCTCAAAAAATGAGCTTATTAATACCTGTAATACCCCACCTCCATGAGGATACAATACAAATATTTGTGTAAGCTGGCTGTGGTGGCTAATGCCTATAATCCCAGCAGCTCAGGAGGCTGTGGCTGGAGGATCATGAGTTCAAAGCCAGCCTTAGCAACTTAGTGAGGCCTTAAGCAACTCAGAGAGATCCTGTCTCTAAATAAAAATATAAAAAAGGGATCGGGGTGTGGCTTAATGGTAAAACACCCTCCCCCCGCCCCCCGGGGTTCAATCAATCCTTTAGATATATAGATATATATATAGATATATATAGATAGATAGATATCTATGTATGTGTGTGTGTGTGTGTATATATATATGTATATATATATATATATATATATATATATATAAAATTTGTATAGAGGTCATAAAAGAAGTTATAATCTCACACTCCAGTGTGTAAAGATAGAATTCAACTTTATCTATATTTTGTATTAATTTTTCTCAAGACGGCAGAAAACTTCAGGTTGGAAAATCCATCTTACTTCCAGCTTTAAAAACAAAACCAAAACAAAACCCTTGGTCTCCCTCAGCCTTGTGGAAGATTTTAACCAGAATCAGGATTTTCCCCTCCTCTGTGGCTGGCTTTTCCCCTGCAGATTGTCCAGGTTCTTCAGGGACTAAGTCCCCTGCCTTCTTTGGGGCTTCCCCACAGCAGAGCCCGTCCTGGGCATTCAGATGCCTAGCCAGTGCCCATTGTGTCATCGTGGCAGCTGGCTGCGTGGCCCTTGGACTTGGCCTTCTTGCCTCTTACCATAGGCCTCCCCACCTGAGACCCGAGTTCTTTGCTCAGAGCTCCTAACAGCCGCACCACTGTGGTGCACTCAGCCCATATGCCTCTAACGTTTGTGCAGCCCCTCCCTCAGTCGCTTATTGATCTGCTGCTCAGACGCCATCATGGATATGGGCCTTGCCTGAGGTTTGATCATCTCAGACTGCCTCCTCCTGCCAACCAGCCCAACTGCTTCTCCTTTTACAGGCTAGGGAAAGGGCGGGGGCACTTCTTAATTCTTTCTGCTTTTGTCCCTGTTCTCCAAGGACTGGTTCATGACCATCCACAGTTCTTTTCTCTCACCTGTGTGCATACACACATACACAGAGAGCCTGGTTCTTGCAAATGGAGGTCTTACTCTCAAGACTAGAGTTTCTATCTCAAGATACTCTCAACCCCATTCAGCTCTTCATTTTCTTGCTTCTGGGGAGTCTCTGCCTCCCCTAGTAGCAGAGCAGGGAGACCCACTATCCCAGTTCCCCCATGGTAAGGGAAGGTCAAGGTAGAAGGAAAGCTGGGGATGGGTGAAGGCACCCCATCAGGTTCTCATGAACCTTTAATTTTCTTGTAGAAATGTGCCTTCACACATGACTTGGCCTGGAGTAATTGTTCCATGGTCACAAACCAGCGACTTGTTCATATTGGGCTATGTGGTTAGTGGGATCCTCTGAGTGGGCACCTCTGAAATACGCACCTGCCTTCTCTTCTTTATGGGGAATGAAGCAGGCGGAGGATGCCTGTCTGGACCCACTTCTTCCTCAAGGGCCCAGAAATGCCATCTTTATAGATCCTCTCCTTTAGATCAAACATTTTCCCTCCACATCATGTTAAAATGTTAATACTGCTGAGACAATGTGTATTTTAGCAGCTTCCCAGGGGTGAGGTCACAATTTTGGGCTCTGAGAACACTCCAAAATAAGAAATGATGCAACCTGCAAGTCCCTCGTGTTCCTGAAGGTAGCAGTGGCGTGAAGAAGTGTCCCTAGGCATAAGCAACTCTCTGTCCCCTATTTAATGCTGAACCCAAAAGGGTAGCAACCAATACTAGAGACAGGGAAGCCTGTTTAAACTTGCATTTATTTCCTAGGGATCTGGGAGAGGGTGCAGGGAGGGGATATATATAACTTGGGTTTCAGGAGTCCCAGGCCTTGGGGAGGAGGGCGAACCCCACCTGCTCTGGCTCCAGTAGTGCTGCTAGTAGGGGTGATGCAGGGCATGCTTCATGATGGTCAGTATTGCCATCCACGTCTCCTGGGCTGTGGGGACGATCTGTGTGGCTGGCAGCAGAAAACCATAGCGCCCTGTGTCCCGGAGCTCGAAACTGAAGGCATACTTAATGCCATTGTCGTAGGCCCAGTCCACAGTGATCCCACTGGCCACGTCTGCAAACCAAAGGGCCAACAAGTGCCCCCAAAAGGAAGGAGAGAGTATGGTCACAGGGGACAAAAGAGTCCTGAGTTGAAAGTGGGCCCTGGGAACCAATTCCCCAGCCAGCCCAGACCACACTAAGCTTCTAGGCCCAGGCCTCCTCCTGGGCCACACCCTGCCTACCCAGCCCATCTCTCCCCCTGCAAAAGGAAAGCCCCCAGAGGCCAGCAGACCATCTTTCCCCTGAGGGAACTTTGCTGTAAGCCAGGCACTGAGAGCTGTGCATTGCTGCTGCAGCTGCCTGGGCACCATGGTCCACCCTTCTCTCCCGATGTGGAAGGCAGCTCTGAGCGGCCCAGCTAGCTCTAACAGTACTACCCTGTGGCTGACCAGATCTGCCAGGCAGCCCAGAGCCTGCACCTGCCTGATCCCCAGGTGGATGTGGCATCTAGGGCAGTAGCCAGGGAGGCTCACTCACAGAGGGTGGCGCTGATGCTGCCAAAAATGTACTGGATCCCGTGCACCTGGTACAGGGCCTTCACTGCATCCTGTGCAAGACTGTGCTGCAAGATGGCGGCCAGAGGGTGAGAGGCTAGGGCTCAGAGTGGCTCCCCACACACCCCAGCACCCTCAGCAGTGGTGAGAAGCATGGATTGAGGAGTCCCAGAAGTCGATCATGCAGATAGCTCTTGTGAGAAGGTAGCACAGCACCTCCAGCTTTGAACTTGAATGAGAACAAGCTCCCCCTCCTCCCTACCACAGGGTACATTGATCCAGACTGTTGTTTCAGGAGAGCCAGTACCCCTGGGAATATGCCAGATATGGATTTTCCTGGAGGAGGGACCTCTTCCTCCCCCAAGCTCAATCTTACCAGCTCCTTCTCATTTGAAACAGACTCCATAGAGTGGCCATAAGGGTACATGAGCATCTGAGAGTAACTGTGGATGGAGATCAGAACTTTGAAGTTCCCATGTTTTGTGATAAAGTTCACAATGGCGGCCACCTCTGGCTCTGACTGTGGTGAGGGCCCATGATAAGTCTCTGAGCAGGGGTTGCTGTTAGAACCATTTCCTGGAAGTAAAATAAAATCATCCAAAGGGTTGGTATTCCCGGTTGTGGCAGAGACAGTTCTCACAAAACACCCACATGCTCCCTCATATCTCCCAGTTTCCTCTGCAGTTTGGTTGAGGTCATGTGACTACTTCTGAACAACGAAAACTTGAGCAAAAATGATGTGTCACTTCTGGTTAGGAGCAAAACATTCTAGAAAGAAGCAGCATCCTGTGTCCCTCTGTTACCACTGAATGAAAACTGCTAATGGAAATCATCTGCCTACATTAGACTTTGTGCTCATGCAAAACAAACTCTTACTTCAGAGTAAGCTACTAAGATTTGAAGGGGTGTTTGTTATTGCTGCATACTCTGGTCTCATACATCAGAGCATGTAGCCACATCGTGACCCAGCAACTCTATAAACTGAAGGAGCCCCCTTGGCTTGTCCTTTAGGTAAGACCTGACTGTGGTTCCATTGGAAAGGCAGGCCTGCCTCAGAAGATGCATCTAGGAGAAACTCTGGGTTTCTGCCCCAATCTCAGCTTCACCTTCAGCTGCTCTTTCTTGGCTTCACTGGTGTTGAGGGCTCAGACCTAGTGTCTGCTCAAGCTTTGCCCCAGACATGGCCCCAGGAGCTCCATGGACTTGGGGGGCCAGGAAAAGAAAGCAGATTCCCATATTTGCCTGAATCTGAACTGGGAAGCACAGATGCAAGAAGTCTTTGGGAATTCTTCTTGGGGACCTACTTAGGGGAGATGACAAAGAGGAGCTGTACCCTCCCCTCCCCCCCCCATATATTTTTTGACAGTTTTAATTTGTTCCCATCTCCTCCTAGATTCTTTGCTCCCTCATCCTTCCTTCCTCTTCCACTCCTCTGTGCTCCTCACCAAAAGCCACATTGTGGAGGGCTGAACCAGGCTGGTCAAGATTTGTGGGTTACAGTCTCATGGACAAGGAGCCATCCCAGGTCCCCTATCCTTTTTCTTCCCGAAAATAGCTGCCTTCAAGCCTGGTTCAGAGGCTAGGGATCCCCCCAACTTCTGAAGCCTCATGAAGATGCCAGAGCGCCCCTCTTGCCCCCAGGGCCAGCGCGGTGGCCCAAGGACCAGTTCAAATGAGGATCTAGGAATGCAACAAATTGATCCTCTCCAAAAGTGCACAGTCTCCAGACAACCCATGATGCAGCAATTAAATTAAGGCAATAATAAAGCCATAAACAAAATCTTCCCACCTGAGTCACCAACTCAGAAACTTGCTAATTCTGGTCACAGGCAGCCCAGAGACCGTTCTGTCACTGGGGAGCCCATCACCTCTTGGTTGGCTGGTCCTGGCCTGGGATAGGGGACCTCAGGTAGAAAGGGACATATCTGCAGAGAGCAAGGGGGTGTGAGGCAGCCCCCAGGCTGGCTAACAGTGGCCCTGTTTGTTGTGTCTGCCTGCAGCTTCTGCACCTGCTCCACTTGACGAATGACAAATACCAACAGATGAGCCGAGCGGGACGGGCTGAGAGCTTTGTCTGTGTTTGCAGCCCACGCAGGGAAAGCAGTTCCCCTGCCAACGACCAGGTGGCTTTGCCCAAATATGGAGAAACACTTCAGGCCATTAGTTCTGGTTCGAGCTAAGCAGAATAAACTAATCTTCCCCTGACCAAATGGGAATTAGCTGCCTGCCTCTCTGACGTTCACAGTCAAGGTCCTCTGAGCCTTCCTGTTTCACAAGTACCTGCTAATGGATTCATTAGCTATTTATTTTTCCTTCTCTAAAATGTAATTTGTAGCAAGGGGAAATCTCTGGAAGGACATGGTAAATTATTAAAAGCAGTAATCTTTGGGTAGTGGGATTATGGGAGCTTTTTGGCCCCTCTGGGTTTCTTTCTCCCTAATTGTTTTTTTTACATTGTATATATACAGATTTTTTTTCCTATAAGAGAAACCCACAAAAGTTATTTTCTTTAAGAGGTAATTTGTCTTTCTACTAGCTGGGCTACCCCAGGATCTGCGGGCATTGATCCTGGGGTAGCCCAACTAGTAGTTCAGAGGGGCTCCCATGGATGTCCATCCAGGGCAAGCATCTGGTCATTTGGAGAAGGAAACATCTAATTTTACATGGTTGTGTTCCTTTACAGCAGTGGTTACATGCAGAGCTCAGACCCCCCAGGCAACATCTACCAGGAGAGTTAGAGGCCTCACTCCCAGTGCTTCAGAACTACCTTAATTTTCAATGAGAACAGACCCCTAAGAAGCTAGATTTTCAGGACAATGGACATCCAGATCTAAAATGGTCTACATCATTGGTTTGGCCACCAGCCTAGAGATCTGCTTATCAATAGTAATAGAACTGTCCCCTGTGGAGCCAAACCCACCCTGCACAATAGTGGAATGTGGACACCGTATCTGGGGACTAAGGACTGTGTATGTGCTGGAGGCTGTCCCGGCTGTCCCCAGCATCCCACCCATCATTCTGCTGCATTTCCGGGGTCCATGTACTGTCTCTTGGCTTTCTGGAGAACCCAGTTTCCTCATCTAGTCCATGCGCTCATGGCATGGTGAGAGAGAGACAGTCAAGGAAGAAAACCATGAAACTTGGGAGAAAGTTGCCCACCCAGCAGTGGGTCCACACAGCCTGCAGGTAGGCACCAGCCCACCAGCCTGCCAGCAGAGTCACAAAATAATGGCTCAAGAATAAAAACTAGGCTTAAAAAAGAAAAGAAAACTAGGCTTGAGTAGGCAAGGATGATAAGGACTTGGTTCATTCTATATTGAACTACTTCTCTGATCTCCCCAAGGGGTGAGTCTCAGCTCTTGGACAATGGGTTCAGAAGCATGACTTTGTGCTGTGTTCCCTCTAGAGAGAAGCCAGGGACACTTGGGGAACACTGTAAACTCTGGATTTTGAACAACGGATGAAACCTCCTTAGGTTATTTTCTGCCATGTTAGGACTTGACCTTGCAGTTCATCCTCCTTTAGGAGATAGAGGCTCCTTTCAATGTCCCCATGAAAGCTTGGCCTAGGTATTCATTTGACACACATGTACAACTTCTTCCCCATTCCATGGTCAATCTTAGGTATGTCCTTGCCTGTCCCTGACCGTGACTGATGCACATTAGCAAATTCCAATAGCCCTGCCCCTCAAGTTATGAGTCAACACAATCTGACTGTGTGGGAGACCAACAACTCCTTCCTCCAGCCCTGCCCAGGACCACAGATCTCCATACCTCCAAAACCTGACTTCCAGTTCCTGTTGAGATCCACGCCGTTGCAGAAGATGCCAGGTCTGCTGGACTTGTTCTTCCGCCACAAGCGGTTCTGAGAAAGCCCAGATCAGGTGACCCCATTCACTGGGCCCACTCCCAGGGATGGGTGTGCTGACATTCTGGCCCATGAAGGGCAGTCTGGTGGGGCAGGAAGGAGCAAAGGGAAGAACTCCAGAACAAGGTGGGGCTGGCCTGGGGCTGGGCCAAGACTGCAGACGAGGATGCGTGCTTGAAATCAGGTTTGGGGAAAGGACTGATCACAGGTCACCAGTGGTGACCTTTCTTGGTCAGGAGGTTGAAGGGCAAGAAGTCAGAGCTATGGTACCCTGAAGAGGCCGCCTCCAGAGGCCGCAGTGACTTTTCCCTGCTTCCTCCAGGGCTGACCCCTCCTCCACACTCCCCAGGTGCCCTCACCATGCTATGAGTAAAAGCAAACCCATCAGGGTTGGTGACAAGCTCTATGAAGATGTCCATGGCTTTCAGTATGTTTGTCAGGAGGCCATTTTTGCCAAATTCAATGACAATCTGCAAGAAAGGGTGAGGGATGGGAGGCCCTGCTGGGCTCTCCTCAGAGGCAGAACAGGACATCTGTCCAGCCAGCAGCTGCAAGTGGAGATGGCATCAGGTCATCAAGCACATCCTCACACAGAACCAGTCTTAAATTTGAAACAACTGGAAGACAGAGTAGAGATGGGCTCTGTGTTCCAAGAGGCCAGAGCACATACTAGGTATTTCAAAGGGGATGGGGATAGAGCACTGGAATTCAAAGTGACTGAGTCTACTTTTTCAACTAGAGGGACCGTCAAAGCTCCCCCAGCCCCAACCCCCATCTCCACCTTGCTCCAGCTCCACCCCAGCTCCAGCTCCACTTTGGCTGCAGGTCCCTGCTGACCTTCTTGGCAGTCCAGATGCCAGTGGCATGGGTGATCCACTCCCTGGAGTGAATCCCAGTGTCAATCCAGATGGCAGGGCGCCGAGAACTTCCAGTGCTGAACTGGGATAAAGAACCAGGCCCCAAACGAGGTTTAAGGAGGTTTGACCAAAGACAAGTACGGTGTCATCTTGGGGCTTCCTGGAAGGAGGCCCCTGATATAACTTCACTGCCGGGGATGGTGCCATATGCCAGCCTGGGCAGGAGTTGGGGTGCACCCACCTGAGCGTGTGCCCATGGAGCCCATGGCCTATGAAGTGCGCATGTATGGGGGTCTTTGGCTACACAGTGGGCCTCTTGGAGGGCAAAGTGATCCAGAAGCATAGAATTTCCCTGAATTGAGGGAAGAAGACTAATGCTTAAGACTAATGCTTCTCAAACTTTAATGGGCACATGTATCCCCCAGGGTGGTATCAGAAACTGAGAGCAGTGGGCTGTAGCTCAGTTGGTAGGGTGCTTGCCTTGTATGTACAAGGCCCTAGGTTCAATCCCCAGGACCACCAAAAAAAAAAAAAAAAAGAGAGAGAGAGGAAAAAAAATGATAGTGGCAATTTCAGTGGAAGCCACTGTCTGTGTGTTTGTGGAGGGGTGGGGGCAGAGAGGGGTGGTGAAGGGATGGCAGATAAAATGGGTAAGGGAAAGAAGGGGACATGATATGCTTAGATTTTAGATACATATGTGCATCTGTGGTGCCTGTGGGATGCCTGAGGGGCGTGTTCAGTGACCCAGTCTCTAGGAGTCTGTAGGATTGGGAGAGGGGCCAGAGTTGGAGACATGGGCAATAAACTCATTGTGGTTGGCCTATGGGCCCGGGTGGGCTCGCCTAAGTGGCTCACCAGGGGAGAAGAGCAGGAAGTGAAGGTTAGAGACAGGGAAAACTCAAATGAGGATTCTGATTCCATAGGTCTGGGGAGGGTCTGAGGGTCAGCATTTACAAAATGCAGTCTTCCAGGTGATGTGGACGCTGCTGTGCAAGGACCACACTTTGAAAAGCAAGGTCTCAGACCACATTACAGAGTCTGGGGCAGCGCCAGGTCAGGGGTGGAAGCAGAAACAGGTGAAGTCTAGGGCCAGGTGAGACGAGGCCACATTGCTGTTCAGAAATGTCCAGCAGAACATTGTTGAGAGCAGTAGCTCTTGTCCTTCCTGACCACTGACATCAAGTGCCCTGCATGGCCCGTGCATCTGGTGCCCTTGGGGATATGCCCTAAGAACTATTTTCCACTGGACTCTGCACTCACCTATGCTGCTTCCTTCATGATCAAAGGGACTGCAGTTGCCAAATTTGCTCAAGCACTGTTCCAGTGGCCCCTGTGAAGGGCTGGGAGGCTTCCCCAGAGACTCAGACCTGTTCATGGAGCTATCTGAGCCAGATGACTTTGATCATTGTCAGATGAGCCCTTACTGTATCTCTTTTCCCTCTTAACAGATAAAGCAACTGAAGCAACAGGAAGAACACTGACTCGCCCACACTCCCACCCCAAGTCCAGGTGACAATGGCCACTCTGCAGCTCCATCTCCTTAGCAACCCTCCCACTACTTCCTGATAAGGTCACTGCACTGTCACCTGCCCATACCTACAAGGGTGGATCCCTGAATACCACATCTCAAAGCTTATGAGTCACCCAAAGACAGGAACATGCACATCTTTCCTGTCCCCAAAACTCCCATCCAGTCACTACCTACACAGGCTCGATCTTATGCTAGAGGCTGTCACTGAAGAGTCCACTAGTTGACACAGAACTTTTACCTTCAGAACAAGAATGGACCGATTTTCAAAACTGTTGCCAATGTGAATTTTGGAGACGATATTTGAATTCTCGGCTACGAAGTTATCAATCCAGCTATAGATCTGAAAGGAACGAAGTCTCAGACTGTCAGTTAACTTAAGAGAAGGGCGAACCCCAAGATGTCTCTGAATAGTCTCCTCCCCCCATCCCACCACCCTTTTCCATTGTCCACCTCTTTTGAGAGTCTAAAAGGATCCAGATTAAAAACTGGAATTGAAGATGCTCTAAGAATTAAGGACAGTCACACTTGCTGTAGCTGGCTGTCACTGTAATTATGAATTTTCTCCAAGGTGACTCTGTTTGATTCTACAAGTATGACTGGCTTCTTGCTCCTTATACCCTCAATTACCCATACCCACAGTGCCCCTGAACACCAGGACTGCTCATGGAAAGGTAGAGATCCCTGATCCCTAGCCAGAGAAAAGGGTCTGGAGGCACCCTCCACCGACCTTAGTGTTCTGCCCAGTATAGACCCTTTTACTCTGCTCTGTGCCTGCTTCGGATCATCCTATTGAACTGTAGTCCCCTCTAACTGGCTTCTGGATCCCATTTAAGCTGACTGCCCAACAGATGTTCACCTAATATCTACTCTTCACTCCCCAAGTTCACAGTTTTTCATAGACTCCAGCACCTTCATTGGTCTCTGCCTGAGTCTGGAGAATCCAAGGAGCCCAGAG